ATCAAAAATGTTAATAGAATATTGTCCTACAGAATTTGCAAGACGTCCTAAATCATTAGATGTTTTTTCAAAGTATAAAGCCACAGAATGTCGCCAGTTTATTTTGTATACAGGACCAGTAGTACTCTACGGTAAATTAGATAATCATGTATATAAGCACTTCTTGCTTCTACATGGTGCTATAAAGGTCTTGCTTTTAAATTCACCATCGGAGAAACAGTTGAGGTTCGCGGAAATTGCATTAGAAAAATTTGTTGTGCGTTGTACCGATTTATACGGTTCAAATTTCGCTAGCTATAACATACACGGTCTGCTTCATCTGACTAATGACGTGAGACGCCTTGGTAATTTAGATTCATTTTCCGCCTTTTCTTATGAAAATAACATGTCTATTTTTAGAAAGTATTGTAGAAAACCGGGTCAACCTTTACAGCAATTTTTTTGTCGAATGGCAGAGTTACGACTTTATGGCCGAGGCGATAATCGCGATATTGATATGTCTGTTCGCGTATCAATGCCACGTAGTAACAGCAATAATACTGTTCATTATTCAAAAATTAAATTTAGTAATATATGCCTAGGTACTCATGTGCAAGACAATTGTTGCATTTTGCGAGATGGGTCGATCTATATTGTCGTGGATATAATAGCTGATAAAGATTCTTACTCTTTGGTCGTAAAGCAATTTTTAGAGATGGAAAATTTTTATAACATTGGCTTGCCATCTTCCGCGTTCCACGTTTATCAATGCAGCAAGATTAGTCGCGATACTAATGTTATTACCGTTGATCAACTTAGGTTCAAAGGATACAGGATGCCTCTGTTCGAAAAGGCATCATCAGACGACAGTACCGAAGATGAGGAAGTAGAAACATCAAAATACATTGTCACCGCTTTACTACATATGGAATAGAAAGGTAATCTGCACAACAATAATCTCAGAGATAACTCGTGAGTAAGCTTACTTGTCATAAATTATATATAAAACTATAACATGTTCTAACGAGATATTGTGTCTTTAGATCGTCGATGGCAGATACCGTCACGTATGGCGCGATGGGCAGTGGGGTTTTAGTGGGTGCGAGTCCCACACTATCCTCGGTCGCTTCCGCATCGGCGGCCGGGGATGTGCCTAGGCATTTCCCCACTTAAAAAAAAAAAAAAAAAAAAAAA